ACACTCCAAGTCCAAACGTGCATGCGCAGGTGTGCGCACTGGGTCATATTCACAGACTTCAAGTCCAAGCGTGCATGCGCAGGTGTGCGTACCGAGACATTCATCATATAAACACACACCAAGTCCAAACGTGCATGCGCAGGTGTGTGCACAGGGACGTTCATCCTAGTCACGCACGCAAGTTCAAACGTGCCTGCCCAGGTGTGCGGATAAGGACATTCATTATATACACACACTCCAAGTCCAAACGTGCATGCGCAGGTGTGCGCACTGGGTCATATTCACACACTTCAAGTCCAAGCGTGCATGCGCAGGTGTGCGTATCGAGACATTCATCATATACACCACACCTGCGTACCGAGACATTCATCATATACACACACTCCAAGTCCAAACGTGTATGCACAGGTGTGCGCACATAGACATTCATCATATGCACACACTCCAAGCAAACACGTGCGTGCGCAGGTGTGTGTAAAGAGACATTCATCATGTACACACACTCCAAGTCCACACGTGTATGCGCAGGTGTGCGCAGACAGACATTCATCATATACACACACTCCAAGTCCAAACGTGCATGCGCAGGTGTGTGCACAGAGATATTCATCATATACACACACTCCAAGGTGTGCGCACAGGGACGTTCATCATATACACACACTCCAAGTCCAAACGTGTATGCACAGGTGTGCGCACATAGACATTCATCATATACACACACTCCAAGCCAACACGTGCATGCGCAGGTGTGCGTAAAGAGACATTCATGGTATACACACACTCCAAGTCCACACGTGTATGCGCAGGTGTGCGCACACAGACATTCATCATATATACACACTCCAAGTCCAAACGTGCATGCGCAGGTCGTGCGTGCGCAGGTGTGCGCACAAAGATATTCATCATATACACACACTCCAAGTCCAAACGTGTATGCACAGGTGTGCGCACAGAGATATTCATCATATACACACACTCCAAGTCCACACGTGCATGCGCAGGTGCGCGCACAGAGACATTCAAACGTGCATGCGCAGGTGTGCGTACCGAGACATTCATCATATAAACACACTCCAAGTCCAAACGTGTATGTACAGGTGTGCGCACACAGACATTCATGGTATACACACACTCTACGTCCAAACGTGCATGCGCAGGTGTGCGCACTGGGTCATATTCACACACTTCAAGTCCAAGCGTGCATGCGCAGGTGTGCGTACGCCTCGTGTGCGCAGAGAGACATTTGTCATATTCACACACGCAAGTTCAAACGTGCATGCGCAGGTATGCGCACAGGGACGTTCATCATATTCACACACTCCAAGTACAAACGTGCATGCGCAGGTGTGCGCACCGGGTCATATTCACACACTTCAAGCCCAAGCGTGCATGCGCAGGTGTGCGTACGCCTGGTGTGCGCACAGAGACATTTATCATATTCACACACGCAAGTTCAAACGTGCATGCGCAGGTATGCGTACAGGGACGTTCATCATATTGTCTGCTTCAATATCGCTTATCATTTTCTCCCTCTATATATATGTGTTCCATTTATTTAAAAGGAACAAAGTGAATTATAAGTATTGAATAAAGTTATTGTTCTGTGTAATTAATTACTCGGTCAAACCTTACCCTTGGAAGATTACCTCTATCTCACTCGTTGACGCATTACTCAATCGAGCCCCACCTCACTCATTAATGCATTACTCAATCAAACCCCACACTTATCACCGTCGTTGTCCACCCACTGCTCACTCATTCTCATCCTGTCCATCAAAACCCTTAACCCCACCACAAGCAATGTAAGTTGAACCTTTATAGCGAGCTTTTAAGCAAGTTATCAGGGTTCAACTTACATTGCTTGTATATACAATACAAGCGGCCTCCAAGTACAGCGAGCGATGCAAATGAGCTTCGGCAAAGACGTAACGCTGACAATAAACGACACATGGAGAGCTGGTATGGACCAGCTGGTACGTGTCTCAGTGTACACCTTACGAATGCAGCCGCTACCGGGTGGCAGGCACCGACAGAGTCCGCAACTTGTCTCTGGAAGGAAGACGGTTAGACGGCCTCTCTGCCGGTCTTGAGTACTTCGACTTGGCTCTGGACTTCGGAGCTTTGCAGACGGGGGGCGAGGATGAGGAAATGGTGGCCGCCAGCTACCATTGCTTTATGGCAAACCAATAGCAGCGAAATACGTGATATATGCATCCCTGAGAGCCCACATTTACAAGCGCCGTTAACCAAACGCCATACGGACGCACACGCAAAAAGTGCGTCCGGCTTCTCTACACACAAAAGCTGCGCCCAATGGCTTCTCGGCTTCTTTTTCCCTGCTCGCTCTCCCCTTGCCCGAGCTTTGTACATCTATTGATCTACCACCGTGAAGTCGCTGTGCCTTGTTGCCTCGCTTCTTGCCATTGTGGCCACGGCGGCCGCTCAGTGCTGTCTCAGCTATGGAATAGACGAAACGTGTCAAGAGGCCTATGACTTCGCTATCTGCAGCGGGGACAACATCGCTGACATCGACCCGGGCACCTACACGTTGCATGCTGCGCACAGCAATTAGTACTTGTCCGTATCGCCCCTCCGACTAGGAGGGTAAGTAGGAAGGGGACTGTGTTGGCAGGGCTATACTTACATATTGCAGATATGTGTCTGTGTGTGTGTTAACCTGCAAGAAAAACAATGCAGCTCCTGCTTGGCAAAGCCTCAACTGTAAAAAGGACGAAGCACAATGGGAGATCGAAAAGTAAGACAATGGCTTCTACAGACTCAGAGTTGTGCAAACCCCGCAGATCGGGACCCGTTTTTGCCTGGCCATTATTATCAAAGGAGCGATTGGCCTGCAGAACTCGCTTTTACCTGGCCATCATTATCGAGGGAGCGATTGGCCTGCAGGGGGAGACGTGCAGCGGGGTCAATTATGACTGGCAATTCGAAGGTATGGATTATAAAGAAGGAATATGCATCAATCAATGTAAACATGTGTAAATGCAGAAAATAATGACGGCTACCTCATGCGGGTTTTCCATAGTGGTTTGCTAAAAAACATTTACGGCACATGCATGTATCTCATTCAATTATGTATGCCGCTGTTGTTTGTTGGCTGTTCTACTTTGTGTGTCTTAGATGAATGCCTCAACGTGAACGTGAAAGGCGCCAATGGTACCAACAATGCCCTGGTGGTGCAAGACTTTGACTACAAGAGCGATCACTAGACTTGGATCCTCAATCGGGTGATGATGTAGTGCTCGCTGGCAAAAGCCGATTAAGGTTGCTGTGACGTATGTATTGCTTTGGGCTTACTGTCTTTATTGAGACGTCTCCTAGTCTGTCTCTCCATCTGACTTGCCCGTTGTATGCATGGCACAGGAGTTTTCTTTTTCCTTCTGTGCTTGCTGCTTGGACAGACTTTTGTGCTTTGCGGCCTTCTGTCCGGACAGAAGTTAGTGCATGTATTCATGCGTTTCATTCATTTGTTGCCTCGTGGACCCATAAAGAGAAAGTTTTCTCTTCTCGTTCATGAAGGAAGGGACGGAGGGAGAAACGGAATCAATCATTAGGGGGCCTGAAATCATGAGTGACTGAGGCTGCATTAGAGATGCATACCGATCGTGTGTTATGTTATTGTCCGTTTGCAGCTGGCAATTACAAAGCTATCTTGGTTTTTTCTCTACCATCATCTCTGCTGTGCATGCCACTGCATTTGTGCAGCGCTGTCATACTCCAAACAGCAACATTTACGCTCGTATATGTTGTATTTTTTGGTTGGTGAGGGAGGATGGGGGGAGTCCGAAGATGGTCCACGGGCAGTGATGGGAGCCCTAAGCTAGGTAGCCTTTGGGAACACGTATGTGTGTGTGTTTTCTGGTTCTGTCTGTCTATCTGTCTGTCTGTCTCTCTGTCTCTGTCTCTTATCAACGGACCAAGCACAGAGACCATGTGTATGATATCCATTACGCTTGACGAGTGACTGAAGCTCACAACCATGTACACAATTGAATGGCTTCCAGTGTCCCAAGAATAGAAGGCACGATGTACGCTCAGAGTTTCAAATCAATTAGAGCAGAATTTCATTATAATACACCCCCTCCAAGTCCACGCATGTATGCGCAGGTATGCGTATAGAGACATTTATCACATGCACCAACTCCGAGTCCATGCGTGCGTGCGTAGGTGTGCGTACAGACATATTTATTTCATACTCCCTCTCCAAGTCCACGTGCGTGTGTACATATGTGTGCACAGAGGGATTCATCATATGCTTCTACAAGTTCACGCTGCGTGCACAGGTATGTATACAGAGACATTTGTTTTATACACCCTCTGCAAGTCCACATTTGTGTGCACAGGTATACGTACGAGGACATTTATCAAACACCTGCTCCAAATCCATGTGTGTGTGCATTGGTGTGTGCACAGAGATATCCATCACATACATTCCCTGCAGATCCACGCGTGCGTGCGCAGGTATGTGTACAGAGATATATATTTCATACACCCTCTGCAAATCCACATGTTTGTGCACAGGCGTTATGTAATGGTGGGGTGTGCATTGTCTTCCTCCTCGAATGCATACATGCGTGAGATGGCTGCAAAAATGGTTCTGCAATGCTATAATGAAGAGATCTGCCTGCCTGTATGCATCCTTCTAGCTCGCAAACCCGTGCTCCCCACTTTCGGACACCCTCATCTCCCCGTGTGTGTTTGTGTTGAGGGCATATTTGTGTGTGACTGGTCGATCTGCACTGGCTGGCCAGCTGGGGATGGGCGGTATGTACGTATGGAGTCATGGTGCAGCACGCACGTCGCCTTCGGGTTGCCCCTTCCAGTCGCGTGCTGGGGTGGCGTGCGTGTGACGCTATGTGCCTGCTCGCTCGTATGTTGCCGTCGTTCGCAGCGCATTGCATATCCACCTGTTTGCTTCTTCTGCCCTTTGCGTGCTGCGTGTTGCGTGTGCGTGTTGCATGTTGGGGTGCATGTTGCATGTTGAGATGTACAAACACGGGACTGGGCCGTCGGGCCACCTAGGGTCCTGCCTGAAACCGCTGCGTGGCCACACATAATCTACCCTAGCTCGCAGAAATACATCTTGCATACTACTGCTCGTGGTTCGTCTTGCTCTCTAACACCATTAACCACAGCGTCGGATGCCATTGAATCGCGTCCTGGGATGCTCATTCTGTGGGGATTGCAAGCATGCTCATTCTGTGGGGATCCACCGGATATGTTGGACCTCGACACGGCGCTGGACAAGGGCGATTGATTACCTGAGGAAGCACGACGCCCCGGGACCATTCATCGCAGGCACCATCGACTTCATCCCCACCCAAGGCGGCCAACTGGGCGCTGGAGCCTAACTGCAACACTGCAAAAGGGGCGACCTTCTTATCCAGGGGCTTCAAGAAGATCTACGACACACAGGCATGGCAATCACCGGTGGGCATTTGGAACAACACGGTGGTCGACCTGGCGGTGCGGCAGGCGAGGGAGGTCTCAGCGGATGAGCTGACGATTGGGTGTCATGCGGGCGACTGGGGTGCGATGTTGGCGAGTGTGCGACGAGGTGGCAACCGAGATGTCGCCGGGCAGCCAGGTGACGGCCGACCTGCACAAGGTGCTGCTGTATCGTAAGGGCGACTTCTTTCAAGCACACAAAGACACACAGGCAAAGAGGACGAGCGAGGAACACGCGGACATATATTGTCTCCTTCTTTTGATTCATCTATTGACACAACGGTCCGATGATCACTTCGCATCGCTCCTCGTCTTTATGCCCACCAGCTACCGTAGGGGCGACTTCCTGCTCGAGCAAACAGAGGGCTTCAACTCCAGCGGCTTCAAAGCGCAGACACAGCGTGCCCTGGCGGCGAAGAGGTGTCGGTGGGTGGCCTTCTTTGCCGACATTCCCCACAGCGTGGCACCCATTACGTCGGGCTATCGTCTGGTGCTGGCGTACAATCTGCAGAGAAGACGGGTGACTGAGATGGCACCGCAGGCAGGGGCCTTCTTGGCTCCTTCGCTACAAGACATGATCGACTCACTTCACTACCACTTCAAGCACTTGCTGGTGAGCGAGAAATAGAGCAGCCTGGTAATGTGATATCTATCTATGTGTCGCATTGCCTCAGACCCAGCTATCCTACTGGGAGAGAGAGAGGAAGGACAACAGCTACGTCATCCATTTGCAGCACGATTACACGCCTTCGTCAATGTCCCTGGAGCATCTCGGTGAGTCGACAGCTACCTCTATCAAGTGCTGTCCCAACACTTTCAAGTCGATCTCAAGATGTTCCTGGCATCTAAATATACGGAGAAGATCGTTGTCAGATGTGGCAGTGCGGGCTGGTCGATGAGGACTCTGCCGCTGCGATAAGGAGCTATGTTGAGGGGATCAGAGCGAAAAAGCGCCAAAACAACGAATACGATGATGACGAACTTGAGGAGGCGCGTCTGAAGGCGCTCTTTCCTAATTGTCCCCTCAACATGAAGGATTGTGACATCTTCGCGAGAGCTTTTGAGGAGGCCTGCTGCCCTGAATGGAGCAACCACTTCCTGTACCAGTACTCGAGTCCCTTGAAAACAACAAATGCTGGGCGCGGGTATGCTTGGGCGCAACCAGCAGCGGTACGCAGAGCATTCTGCATACGAGTACATCCTGAATATGAGGAGCGATATCATGTGTATGACAATGAGCCACCTGGTTGGGATTTTCAGTACATCTGTGTCGCGATGGTGGTAGAAGAGCGTGCAGCAGAAGGCTAGAAACATGAATGAGGACAGACAGTCGGGGATAATGAATTTCTGTCCTGTGTTTCAGTGCATGCATGTGTCTGGTGTGCAGCCAGCTGTACAGTGACTATCTGCTTTGTGTGTCATCCGTTCCTGCACTGACTGCACTGAGACACCTTGGACTGGATGTTTGCGCCGGATGTATGCATTTCATGCTCTACGCAGCATGTGTGCGTGTGCCAATCAACAAGTTAAAGCGTCCCATGGACATGACGGACTACTAACCTCATTGATACAGATCGGAGCACCTGACAGCTAGGACGAGGCATGCGTGTATTGGTGTCGTCTGCGCGTGATTCTTGGGTGCGTTGTGCCTCATTCGTTGCGTTTGTGCCGGAAGCGATGTTGCGAGAATGGCGGCGGTCGCTTACTTCATTCGTTACGCCATTCTTGCACCTGCATTTGCTGGATCTGCAGCTATCTACCCGCTGTGGTGGCGGCGCCCACCACCCCAAACCACAAAACATGGAAAAGGGACGACGATCCTGCGGATCGAGCGAGAATCCGCGCCGAATCCGAATCATCAAAAATCCGCCCTCACCGCTTGCTTTGGGCCGAGAATATGCCTCCCGTGATGGCTCGTGCCGCAATTGTGCTCGTCGCCCTTGGGTGTGTGTCGTGCGTGGCTGCGGATCCCATCAGCAATAGCGTCGTCAGCACCCGACAATGGTCTGAGGAGTCGTGCCGTGCGAATGCGGGTGATGAGGACCCCGATACTGGCGAGCTGCATCCTGCCCTTGTGGTCCAGAACACCGAGGGGTCACCGAGTGACGGCTTTGGTGAGCTCACCGGCGTCAGCGTCACATCACTCGCATTTCCTTGTCCCTTCGCTTGCCTGTCTGCCTGTCTGCTTGCAGGCATCATCGGATGTGGAGAGGACCACAACATCTGGCATGCTAGCAATACGTGCACACACGACGCACTGCACTGCACCATGCAGTGGCATGCATCGCTCTTCGCGTCCGTGTGTCTGCTGTGCTGTGCATGCTCTGCGCGCAGGAAGATATTCACAACCAGAATCTACCGCACCGTTGAGAAAGGACTCTCTGACGAGAGGTCCAAGAGGAACATACAGGTAGGTATGCTGGCATACGCGCCGGCCAGAGCTGCTTTGTGCTCGGCTTCTTGGCTGCCTTTCTGCAGGACGTGACGGCTGAATCGGTGCAGGAGGCATACGACAAAGTAAGTGAGCGTGTGAGCCCTACACACCGCTCTGGACGGACAGATCGACATCAGTGCTCCCTTATCCGTCTGTCTGTCTTTGATTCATGCAGTTCGCCGAGTTGCCTCTGAAGAACTTCCAGTGGGACCAAGCGCAGGTGCGAGGTGAAGACGGAGACAAAGTGCACATCGGTAAGTGTACGCGTGAGCAATTGAGGGGTCCCTCGCGTGCATGAGACACGTGCGTCTCTCGGTTTGTCTGTCTGATTTGCCTGCTGTAGGGGTGTTGGCGCAGGAGTTGCAGAGAGTGTTACCGGGTAAGCATGCATGTCTCTGTGTGTGGTATGGCTGGCTCTCCTCCTTTCTCTCAGAGGCGGTGTCTGCCAGTAGTGCGGCGGTTGAGGGCTTGGAACCCACCGAGACACTGTACATCGACATGGACCATATGTTTTACACCATGGCAGCCGTCGTTCAGGAGCTGCAGAGGCGCGTGCATGCCCTGGAGGCAGAGAGGGAGGGGTGAGACATAGAGGCCAGCCATCCATCCGACTGACCGCAACTGACGGTTTGTCGTGTCGGCTGCATGAGAGAGTGTGCATTGTGCAAATCACTGTTGTGTCCGCAATCACTGGGGCTGGGTCGGGTGTCTTTGTTGAAGGGCCGTCCGGCCGTTGTTCTTTTTGCATGTCATCCGTCCATACATCGTACGCTGTTTTGTTCTTCCTTTCCTACGCGGGCAGGCAGACAGGCAGGCAGGCAGAGCAGTGCGGTGCATATATATGTGCGTGCATCCATTTCCGACATGGGCGTGAGTATTGGGGTTGACTGACCGGCTGTCGTGCTGGGAGGGCAAGGAGAATGGGAGAGAGCTGAAGGGGGATGTGAATGAAAGCCTTGCCAACACCATAGGTCTACGGAATTTACTTGATCACGCTCAGACGAGCCAAATTCTCAACCAACAAATACATTTACGAAATCACAACACACACAACACGGCAGAGCAAGAATTGATCTTCTAGTCATTGTCACCAGAGAGGGGCACACCGCCAAACAACTCTATCCAAGACCAGAGTTGCTAGGACAAATGGCATCCACACTTGCACATACATACATAGGCGATATACGTGCATGCACAGGGGTGTGCACATACAGACATTCAACATATACACACACTCCACGTCCAAACGTGCATACGCAATTGTACGCATAGGTGTGCGCACAGAGGTTTTCATCACATACACCCACTCCAAGTCCACACGTGCATGCGCAGGTATGCATACAAAGTCCAAGTCAAGCCGTGCATGCGCAGGGGTGCGTACAGAGACATTCATCATATGCACCCACTCCAAAGTCCATACGTGCATGCGCAGGGGGGTGCACATACAGACATTCAGCATATACACACACTCCATCGACGCGTGCATGCGCAGGGGTGCGCACAAAGACATTCATCCACTCCAATCGACGCCTGCATGCGCAGGTGTGCATACAAACTCCAAGTGGACCCGTGCATGCGCAGGTGTGCGCACAGAGACATTCATCATACACACCCACTCCAAAGTCCATACGTGCATGCGCAGGGGGATGCACATACAGACATTCAGCATATACACACACTCCAGGTCCAAACGTGCATGCGCAGGTGTGCGTACAGAGACATTCATCATATGCACACACTCCACGTCAAAAAGTGCATGTTCATCACATACACACACTCCACGTCCAAAAGTGCATGTTCATCACATACACATACCCTCCAAATCGACGCCTGCATGCGCAGGTGTGCGCACAAAGACATTCATCATATACACACACTCCAAGTCGACTCGTGCATGCGCAGGTGTGCGCACAAAGACATTCATCACATACGCACAAAGACATTCATCACATACACACGCTCCATCGACGCGTGCATGCGCAGGTGTGCGCACAAAGAGATTCATCATATACACGCACTCCAAGTCGACTCGTGCATGCGCAGGTGTGCGCACACAGATATTCATCGTATACACATGCTCCAAGTCCAAATGTGCATGTGCAGGCGTGCGCACAGGGACATTCATCATATACGCACACTCCAAGCCCACGCGTGTACACCCAGGTATGCGCAAAGAGGGAGACACTCATGGCATACACCCACTCCAAAGTGCATACGTGCATGCGGAGGGGTGTGCACATACAGACATTCATCATATACACACACTCCAAGTCCAAACGTGAATGCGAAGGAAGCATTCATCATATACGCATCTTCCAAGTCCACGCGTGCATGCGCAGCTGTGCGCACACAGATATTCATCATACATACACACTCCAAGTCGACGCCTGCATGCGTAGGTATGCATACAAACTCCAAGTCAACCCGTGCATGCGCAGGTGTGCGCACAGAGACATTCATCATACACACCCACTCCAAAGTGCATACGTGCATGCACAGAGGTGTGTACATACAGACATTCATTATATACACCCACTCCAAGTCGACGCCTGCATGCGCAGGTATGCATACGAAGTCCAAGTCAACCCGTGCGTGCGCAGGTGTGCGTACAGAGACATTCATCATACACACGCACTCCAAGTCGACGCGTGCATGCGCACACCTGGCCAAGTCGACGCGTGCATGCGCAGGTGTGCGCACAAAGAGATTCATCATATACACGCACTCCAAGTCCACTCGTGCATGCGCAGGCGTTCGCACAGGAACGTTCATCAAAGTCCAAACATGCACTCACACACCTCATGCACAGGTGTGCGCACAGAGACCTTCATTATATACACACACTCCAAGTCGACTCGTGCATGCGCACACCTTGTGTGCGCACAAAGAGATTCATCGCATACACACGCTCCAAGTCGACTCGTGCATGCGCAGGTGTGCGCACAAAGAGATTCATCGCATACACACGCTCCAAGTCCAAATGTGCATGTGCAGGCGTGCGCACAGGGACATTCATCATATACGCACACTCCAAGTCCACGCGTACATGCGCAGGTGTGTGCAGAGAGAAGATCATTATATACACACGCTCCAAGTCCAAACGTGCATGCGCAGGTGTGCGCATACAGACATTTATTGTGTGTGTACGTACGTGCATGCGCGGGTGTGCGCACAGGGAATCAATGACATACACACACTCCAAGCCCACGCGTGTACACCCAGGTATGCGCAAAGAGGGAGACACTCATGGCATACACCCACTCCAAAGTCCATACGTGGATGCGGAGGGGTGTGCACATACAGACATTCATCATATACACACACTCCAAGTCCAAACGTAAATGCGAAGGAAGCATTCATCATATACGCATCTTATACGCATCTTCCAAGTCCACGCGTGCATGCGCAGCTGTGCGCACACAGATATTCATCATACATACACACTCAAAGTCGACGCCTGCATGCGCAGGTGTGCGCACAGAGATATTCATCATATACACGCACTCCAAGTCCACACATGCGTGCGCACGTGCATGCGCAGGTGTGCGCACAGAGACATTCATCATATACACGCACTCCAAGTCCACACATGCATTCGCACGTGCATGCGCAGGTGTGCGCACAGAGACATTCGTCGTTTACACGCACTCCAAGTCCACACATGCATTCGCACGTGCATGCGCAGGTGTGCGCACACAGATATTCATCATTTACACGCACTCCAAGTCCACACGTGCATGCGCAGGTGTGCGCACAGAGACATTCGTCTATACACGCGCACAGAGACATTCATCATATACACGCACTCCAAGTCCACACGTGCATGCGCAGGTGTGCGCACAGAGACATTCGTCATATACACGCGCACAGAGACATTCGTCATATACACACACTCCAAGTCCAAACGTGT